CCTTGTGCGAATTAAGGAAATTAGGAGCTTAACTATTATAGCTATAGTCCTGTGAGAAAACACCGCACTGAGGATACTTGATATACCGAGGCCGGAAACAGTCCGCATACCGGACCGTGAGGATACACAGCGAGAACTCTGAACACGTTACTCTATGGTAATTAAACAAAACCGTATTTAATTTGTCAATACGATCCTTAACCTGACAGATCCAGCGTATGATGATGATGGTGGCCCAATAATGACCAAGAAATAAGATAAACTCGCAATTGGCTGCCTCGCAACATGTCGAAACGAAAATGAGCGTAAACCAGAACCACGTCAATTTGCTTGCATGGGGTTAAGCAAACCTTGGCATCTTTTAAGCTCTTGAACCATACGCCGGAGTGAAAGGAGGATGGAAAGATGTCCTTAGGATTGAGGCTGTTCTAGCTTTTATTTATAAACTGAAACCTCTGCATTTGCGTAAGCACACCTATCTGCACGGGTGAAGGCTTCGCGAGCTTATAGCGCATCGATTTGAGGGAAAACTGCATAAAAACCGAGTACGGCTAGCACAGAAAGGTAAGAAAGTGGGGAAAAATATGTGTAGTTAAATGCTTTTATAGAGCTATCAGAGTTATCAGCATTCTGATCCACGGTATCTATTCCAACCTCTTCATAGTCTTTCTCCAAAGCTGCTAGATCTTCACGAGCCTCCGAAAACTCACCCTCTTCCATGCCTTCGCCTACATACCAATGCACGAAGGCACGCTTCGCGTACATAAGGTCAAACTTGTGATTTAATCGAGCCCAAGCCTCGGCGATCGCCGTGGTGTTGCTCAACATGCAGACCGCACGTTGCACCTTGGCCAAGTCTCCACCTGGCACTACTGTAGGCGGCTGGTAATTGATGCCGACCTTGAAGCCAGTTGGGCACCAGTCGACAAACTGAATACTGCGTTTCGTCTTGATCACTGCGATTGCTGCATTTACATCCTTCGGGACGACATCTCCGCGATAGAGGAGGCAACATGCCATGTACTTTCCGCGACGGGGATCACACTTGACCATTTGGTTGGCGGGCTCGAAGCATGAGTTAGTGATCTCTGATACTGTCAACTGCTCGTGATAAGCCTTCTCGGCGGAAATAACAGGAGCATAGGTGGCCAGGGGGAAATTGATTCTAGGGTATGGTACCAGATTTGTCTGGAACTCTGTCAAGTCCACATTCAAAGCGGTTCAGGTTAGTATATGACGGACGATCTATGTCTAGATTCCTCCTAGAAAGAAAACAGACCGTGTTG